AATTTAGGTACCGGTAGATATTATTGCGCCATGTGATTAGGTCACGCATTGACCTTTGACCTCTGACAAACTTCATACAGAATTGAAGGTATTTTCTCTCTGTATGTTTATATACTGGAGAGATATCACAAATGTATATATTCGAAAGTCAAGAGGAAAAAAAAACAGATATACATGTATTCACTTAAAAATAATTCAAAAAATCACATTGGATTGTTTCACATGAAAATTTCAGTATGAAAAAGCTTCATTTAATGGAAGTATCACAAGATCAGATGATCAATTTTATTTTATGGGTATTAATTTTTGTGTCTTTTGAAGAATAGAACATGAAATTAGGGTTTTTTGTAGTTTTATTTACGAGCCGTCAAAATATCCGATGTAAAGAAATATTACAACCTAGCTATTTTGATGACAAAACATATTTTGTATTCTTAATCTTTTTCCTTATATCCGATCATTTCATAAAACCAAAGAACAGAAAAGGTCTTTTGTTCCTGAAAACCACAAATACCTGTATCGTTACTAAATTACAAAAACTCTAATATCCGGATATTTCCGGAACTAAAGAGATTCACCGTATATTGACCTCGGTACACCCACACCTACAATGGAAGTCAACGACGCATTAGGGAGCACACATCAATATAGAAAATCAAATTACAGGAACTCCATGATCAGATAAATTTCATTTACTGGTTGTTTATGCAATATCGGGGCATCATTACTTAAGATTTCGCTGACTGAGGAAAATTGTTTCTATTTAGTATAACGGTATTCGTGTTACATTTAAAACACTCTAAGGGAACACTAGTTTGTTTTTTATGTCAAGTACAAGTTTTTATGATTAAAAAAAGTTTAGGTTGTTAAATGACGAAAACATGAAATTCATGTAATCTTCAAAAAGTTAAGTTACCACAAAGTATGATTGTCCTGAAATTTTATTTTATAATAAGCATTTTATAATTTATCGAGAGACTAATGGAACTTTCTAGCTCTTTTTGTTTAAAATGCATCCCCGAAATGTTCCTATAAAATGCCAATAAACCATCGTATAATTTACAGATAAAACAATTTTCTGGAGAATTAATGAAACGTATGAGAAAATAAAGGACTTTTTAACGGAAACTGAATGAACAGAAAGTGTACTTATTGAGAAAAAAGCTGATTTGTTTTTAAAGTAATTTAAGATATGAAACAAAAAAAAAACAAAAAAAATTAATGAAATTGTAATTAAAAAGTGAATATTTTATACTTTTGTTTTCTTTTTGTGAAACACTGAAGCCTCCGTACAGCAGTTTTTGGCAAGGGTTGTCTTGCTCTTTCTCAAATGCAAGTTTAACTCCAAGGTTAAAATTGTTGGCACCGAATAGAAGGTCTTTTCACAAGGAATACACCTATTGAAATTACTTACTCTTTTTTTGAGGGGGGGGGGGTGCGATTTCTTTATGCACCCGTAATCAAAGATTCGGAGGTATATAGCTTTTCCCCTGTCCATCCGTCTGTCTGTTAGTCTCTGTTTTTCTGTTTATCTGTTTTTCCGTAAAAAGTTAAACCTTGTTCATTACTTCTGAATGTCTGCCTTGTCTGGACCTATAACTTTCATATTTCAGTCGTGTATTCCTTGTGAAAAGTCCTTTCTTTTAATGTCACAAAATTTTACCTCGTTACCTTGACTTTGGAGTTTGACCCACTTTATCAAAAATTTCCGAACATTTACCATAGCCATAACCTTTAAAAAGTTGTTGCTAGGGCTTTCATACTTCATATCTATATTCACTCTAGCAAGACCTTTCATTTGGTATAAAATACTTTTAAAACGTTAGTGCTAGGGCATATATCCTTGTGACAAGACATTCCTTTGGGTTCCAACAATGTTTACCTTTTCAAAACATTAACCTTGATCATACCTTTTGAACTACAAGTACCGCTAGTATCATACTTCATAGGTGTATTCCTTGTGACAAGGCCCTCATTAAACACCAACAATTTTGACCTTTTTACTTTGACCCATTTAAAGAAAAAATTGTTATCTTGACCATAACTTTAGAACTATTAGTACTAGGGCTTTTTTATTTACATGTGTTTTCCTTGTCACAAGACCCCCCCCCCATTGGGTATCAACAATTTTGACTTTGGAGTATAAAGTGCATTTGAGAAATTTCATCTCTCGCAATAAGCTGCCATACGGAGTATCAGTGTTTCTCAAGCACATTTTGTTTCTTATTGGAATTCAAGCAGATTGTTGGACCTGCTCACGGTTCTACACATCCAGAGATGTTGTTAGCAAGATGTGTTTGTGAAGCACTTATGCCCCGTATGGCGACATGGTGAAGGTTAACTTTTATCAAATGCAAATCAAATACAATGTATGTTGGTACCCAAAGTAATGCCTTCTCACAAGAAATACCATTGTGAAATGTGAAAGCCCTGTTCCAAAGTGATGGTCAAGGTTTAATTTTTTTAAAAGTAGATCAAAACTCAAGGTCAAATAGTCTTTTTTTCGCAAAAACTTTAACCTTGCTCATAACATTTGATTTAGTTGAGCTATTACTTTCATAGCCACATGTTCCTTGTGACAAGACCCTTCCTTGGGTACGTACGTACCACCAAATTTAACCGTTTGAGGTTGACCTTAGAGTTTGACACATTTTTACACAAACTTTTACTTTGGCCATAACTTTTGATCGGTAGATACAAGGACTTTCATACTTCACATATATTGTTTTGACAAGACCATTCTATTGAAACCAACAACATTGACCTTTTGACCTTAGCGTTGGAGATTTACGTACTTTAAAAAAAATAAACCTCAGCCATAACTTTTGAACTGTTATTGCTAGGAATTTCATACTTCACATACGTAATCCTTTTGACAAGACCTTTCTTTTGAAACCAGCAACTTTGACTCTTTGACCTTGAACTTGGAGTTTGACCTACTTTTCAAAAACTTATCCTTGGCCATAACTTTTGAACAAGTGGTGCTAGGGTTTTCATATTTTACAATTGTATTTCATGTGAGAAGCTATAAGACTTTACTTTTGGTACCAACATATTTTATTAGCATTTAAGAAACGTCTAATCTTCGTCATGATGCCATACGGGGACATCAATGTTTCAAAAACAGATTTTCTTCACTTTAGGGCATATAATTCAACGTGATTTCAAATGAATTTCAGATAAATATTTATTTATTTTTAATTCCTACTAGTAATTATCTGATATAAAAAGAACTATTTTAAGTATATTAGCATATCTTTTTTTAAATTACAGTACCAACCATACCCAACCTGACACATAGCAGTCCCAAAACAGTCCCACAGCAGTTCCAGCGGTCCCAGAAAGCAGTCCCAACAATCCCAGCAAGGTTTATCAATTTAATGGACGGAGCTTACCCAGAAATGAGATTAACCCCCCCCCCCCCAAAAAAAAATCAAACTACATGTACTTTAACGTTATAATGTATCCCGAGAAATATTTAAGCTTCTTATTGTTGAAAAACGTTCTAAAGTAAAATTTCAAGGTATCTAATGTAGTTAACAATACTAGTAGTTAAAATTAAATAAATCAAATGTATCATATACCATCGAAACATTTGGATTGCTTTGGATGGTGAGAAAATATACGTCCTTGACAGTTTTCAAGTACATTGAAATACTAAAGAACTGTGTTAGCTGTCAAAATCTTTCTAAAAACTCTACGTGGAAGCGGATCTATATCGAAACGCCTATGGATATCTTGACACCCTTCGACATTGAACTAGATGAACTTAAGATACAATTGCAGTGTATAATGCACGGTAATTTTCAGCTGCGCAGAATATTAAGAACAAACAAAAGACATTAATCATCTAAGCTAAGAAAAACTACGAGAATGTTTTTATCATCGGCCAAAATATAACCGGGTGAACAAATTTTCGTTATGCATTAATCATGATGCAGTTCGACATTTGTTAGAAATTAATGTAAGCAAACTTTTAAAGATAAAGCAATCATAGCATTTTTATAGAAATAAAGTTAAATAAATGTCTCAAAAACACTCAAATTGTAACATTTGTAACCAAGATAAGCGATTGTTGTTACTTCGGTACAAAACATTCATTTCAAAACATTTTTTTTAATTTTGGAAAAATATTCTTTTCTAATAAAATTCAACTGCTTGATTATAAGGTAGATTGATTATAAAAAGGAACAATATAATCGATTTTTTGGAATAAATTACTTATCTTAAAATTGTAATCGTTCCACCAAAAAAATCTAAGCCCTGACATATTTTTCGTAAAACTGTAAACTACGTTTTTAGATATTTTAACATTTAAAGAGGTTTATATGAGACTTCGATCAACAATATATATATATATGAAAACGATGAGCAGTTATTTACCTTTATTAATCGTGGTTTATTTCTGAGGTTTACATATTATAAAAATTGAATTTTTTTTGTACATTAAACTTTTCATATATTTTAAGAATAACAATTTGTGTGCATGTGGTTTTGTTTCCACTCACAAAAGAAATTGAAATATTTATACTATTACATTTTTAAAACCAATTATAAAATCTAGAGAAAAGAGTGTGCCTTTCGTTGTGCAAATTTAATGTATTATATTATGCTTTTGAAGTTTGAAAGCACTACTCTAGAAAATATAATTCTTGTATCCTGAAAATATCTCAGAATATAAAAAATTGCATCAAATTCTTCATATATCATTAAAATTCCCTCTTTTATACCTTTGCTCATGATAGTTATACCAACAAGACTGTCTGACATAGCATAATGAAGCCATACTTAAGCAAGGCTATATAAAGAGAAAGAGAGTCAAAAATAACCATCAGATCCCGAATATCGTATTAACAGGCATCGTCTAATAACATGTATCCCGCAGGAATATTTATTGGTGGCGTCAATACATGGAAAAATACTGTTTGTGATTTGGTTAACAGAATTCGTATTCAAATTCTTCATAAACTTTTATTTATTCAATTATCTTTTATGACAATTTAGATGATCTCGCATTATTACAAACAACTGTTAATCAATTTTATGTTTGTTTTCAAATTTATTTTCTACAATCTCATAGTGTATTTAATATTTGTATTGAATCACATTCGTTGTTTGAATGAATAAAATGGTCTTTATTTTTCAATCGATTTTAACGAATCTTATTGTTTGATATGTGCTCTTTTCATGATTTCTCGCTGCTTGGCTAGGATTTGAAGAATACCCAATAGTTGTCTCCTATCTATTTTACTGCGTCCATCCTTTTCTCCTGTTTTATCCTGTTCCTCCTTAGGCTTAGGACTAGGTTTATCGTTCGGGCCATTCTTTGTTCCATCTACTGTTACAGAATCCTTATCAACCCTGTTGTCAAATCCCAGAATAGCTTGAACTTTTGATTTAACCGAATCCCATTTCGAGTTAGCTTTTTTGTTTTCTTGTGAATCGCTTCCCGTGTCATATTTACCATCCTTGTTACCCTTTCCATTCATAACATTTGATAATTTGTCTTTAATTACTTTCACTTTCGGGAGTTTCTTTTTGATTGATCCCAAGTCCCCATTGCCGAAAATCCTTTTTAATTCTTGTACAGCTTTGTCGAAATTGGTATCATCTTTAAGACCAGGACCCGTGTTTTCCTTGAATTCCTTGTTTTCTTCTAATGGACTGTCTTTTTGTCCATCATTTTTGACGTCATCCACTTTTTTTGGCTCTCCATTCTTTGGTTTATCCTTTTCATTCTCGGCGCCGTCTCTTTGACCGTACTTTCCATCTTGCTGTTCATCTCCTCCATGAACCAGTTCGTTGTTAGAGACTTTTCCAAAGTCCTCTTAAACATCAAAGTTTAAAACATTGTAGTAAATAAATGTTGAATACAATAACATTATAATAATAAACTTCATTTAATAATATTTACAATTTCAAAAAAACTGGAGTGCAATGGTTAGGGCATTTCTCTAGGGTCCCATATTAATGAGTTGATGCTAACATGCATATTGCAGTTTCGAATCCAACTACATGACTTGGAAACTGGACTCTCTGACGAGACCGTATAAACCGAGGTCCAGTGATGCAGTTAGTGTAGGCGAATGAAACATACCTCACTTTTCGAAGGCCATGGGTGCTGACAACAATTTGTTTGTAATTTAACTAATTTAACGTCCATTTGAAAATTTCTAATCATTAAGAAACCACCTCTTGTCGATGGGGGCTGTTTCAGAGCTGTAATTGGCACTAAAGGGTCTATTTCTTGCCAGCATCCACTGCTACACGGGACCTCGGTTTTACGATCTCATAGGTAAGATCGGTATTCATATCCCGTATTGTGATTCGATTGATGCAAGGGTCAACACCGTATCCCTCAACTCTTGATCAAATGTTTAACTATTGCGCTATGCGGTCTACCATCTCAATCTAAGTCAAAATTCTATAGTTTTAAAAACAAAAAACAAAAAAAACGAGACACTTACTTTCTACTCTTCTGGAAAATTTGAAGACAAAACCACCGAGATGAAGAAACTCGAGGGACATTTGCTGGACTTTCACCATTCGATTAACTATCTCATCGACAGTCAGTTGATCATCTGAATAGAAAAGATGATTTGTGATCTTTCGTCTTTCATAGTATTATGTAGTAACAGAGAATTGCAAAAGAAATTAATTTTAAAACAGTTAGAACAATTGTATTATAAAGGAACGCATTCGAAAATATTATTCTTTTCATAGCACATCAGGAATGACAAAAATTGACATAGTTTCATTGTGATTTTCTGATGATTATTTTATTCGCATTGTTGCAGATTTCTTGGCTCTTCACATTAAATTGATTGTCTTAATCAAATTAATAGCTCAAAACATGTTAGAAAAGGACCTGTCAAGTCATCCAGATTGGTCTCTGATTCCAGCAGAGACATTCCAATGGCTGCACAGTCAAAAACTTGTCGTAGAACTTCGTTTAACAAGTCCCGCCTGTTATTGAACTGATCGAAATCCGTGTCCTTGGCTCCTGGAAATTATAAATCCTATTGTGTAGGAGATGGGGAACAATTCTGTTGCTTTTTTCCGTAATAGTGTTTTAGAAAATATATATAGAAAAAAAGATCGGATGATTCAGATGAAGCTCTCACTATTTTGGGGTTGTTTAATTATACTTACATTTAATTTATAAAGTTAATTGTTTGGAGACTTATTATTTACGTTTAAATGGAACATTTCTATTTGATTATGAATATGTGTAGCAGAAAAAAATCTGACCACTTACTCGCTATGCACTTTTGCAAAAAATGCATATCCTGTACTTCCAGATCTTAAAAAAAAATTGATAAATAAAATTAATTTTTTAAAAAAATGTTACAGTAGGCTTTTTGCTTCAAATGCATTTTATTTTCAAGAAATGGTAGTCAGAAGAAGAGCTATGCTAAAATACCCACGAGGAAGGCGGTTAGAAATCTCTGACAGCTCTGTGGAATCCTCCATTAGAAATCCCGACTCTCTCATTAGTTCCGGGTCCGGTGTCATGTCCTCACGGATTGGCTCTATATCAGAATACTTATTATGTATTTAAAATGTTCAGTTGATCTTCACTTTGTTTATTAATTCTACCTTTTTTTGTTTTTTAATGCATTTCGCCGGTTTAGTATTACACATATGTAACTGTCATTTAGTGTTATCACTTATTCGAATAGGTGATATCACCTATTCTGCTAGGTGAAATCATCTATTCTTTTTGGTGATATCATTCATTCAAATTGAATAGATGATATATGTATTACTTATGTAATGGGCAATATCACTTTAAATTTTCGAACGATGATATCACCTTTTTGAATCGATTATATGACTTTAATGGAAATGAATAGGTGATATTATTTTACTTTATTATTCTAAGCTCTCTGATTGGTTCAAACTTGATCACATGATCAAATTAAATAACAGCATATAGGCTTGTATTATTATTTTAAGAATCTGAAAAGCTAACAGACGAAGTTTCTGAAAAATGGAAATAATCTTCTATAAAATATCAAAAGTGCCGACTTTACAAAACTTATTGCCTGTACCTAAATGTGGGTTAAACCAGTCAGCAAAGCTCTTATCCATCACATGATCGATATCATTATTGATCCGATTACCAAAAGAGAAAGTAACGTTTTTTGAAGAGCTGAATTTTTCGAATTTATACCATATTTCCCACAAATAATCCTTACAGCTTCTGTTGTGATATCATTTTGAAGATATATATCATTCTATGGATCGACTTTATGAAGGGGCTAAATTCATATCATATCTGAATATGTGACATTGTTTTTTTTTATATATAAATCGGTGATATCACCTATTGGAATAAGTGATATCACATACTCAGTAAGAATACTAGGTTAAATTGCCTATTTGATTAGATGATACCATCTATTCGAATACGTAAGTTCTTCTTTCCGAAAAGATGACATCACATAATTATTCAAACCAAATAGGTAATCACTAATTTAAATAGGCGAGATCACCAATGCAGAAGTTGAATAAGACAGTGGTATCACTAACTGAATAACTGATATCACTTCATGGCATGAAATACCAAAAGGATGCATAATGCATGTCGAAGGAAAGAATAGGACAAATATAGGAAACAGAAAATCGATATCCTTAGCTTTCGACGAATTAAATTTTGAGACTTTGTATTTTAATATTGTAGTATGGAAAGGAGGAATGAGTAAACATACATTGAAAATTCATAAATACATATATATTGAATACATATGGCTGGAATAAAACTATAAACCACTTAGCTATCCAGGCCGATGTCCTCAGTCCAGCTTAATTTCCTATAAAATAATAAAACTTTAACTCGTGATTAAAAACAACATTTTAATCTTCAAGACTGCGCTTTGAACTAAGTTTTATATAATCGATAAAATTTCAAAATCAATCAAGAAATATACACATTTACAACCAACTTTTTCCTTGTCGTACCTATTTAAGTTAGATTCATTTGGTTCATAAAAGAACAATTAAGTGTACTATGATACTTTGTCTTTTGTTAAAAAATCCACACATCGAGATTGAAGGATTCATACAAAATTTAGAATTTTAATGTGCTAGTGAACAAATAGTCTTGTTTTTGCCCACATCCTGTTTCTTCTTTTCTACCTACCATTTATTAAGATGAAAAATTGATGATTGTGGGTTAAATTCATCAACTATGTTATCTTACCGTCAATTTTCCTCATTTTTTCTATCATTACTACAGCGTCTTTTATCTTTTCATTCATTTGTTTGGCAATAAAACGAATGGTTTCTTTTGGGACATGTTTTATTGCTGTAAAAAAAGACATAAAATGAAGAAAAATACTGAAGTATCCTTTTCATTCAGTAATCTCTAAAATAAATTTGACCACGACATGTACAATAGGCTAAGAAATTATTTATTTGCTATTGGAGGCATATTTCTATATTTAGTTTGCCTTACCTTCTTCAATTTCGTCACGTGACACTGGTCCAGGTCCAAAGTTTCTGCCTTCAACTTTGTGTACCTGAACATGAAAAACAACATAAAAGTAACTTATATTAAATTAAAAATAAAAATGTTAAGAAAAAAATTGTGTTTGTTTTTTTTCTAAGCAAAATTAATGAAATATCCAATCTCTTCTTGCTTAAACCTTTTAGATTAAAATTTAGAAGTGAGGGATTTAAAAGATCATGCCCCTTCTTATATTTATGAATACAATGTAGAATTTTCTTATTTTTTTATGAAAAGCAAGTCTTTCCGTGTGACCTTACAAGTCTTTACCAAATGGTTCTTAGGACCAAAAGATGGTGCTTTCCTACTTTTAAATGATGTTTTATATCTTTTACAGAAACTGCAGTTATTTCGAATCACTAGTATGTAGCATGAACTGTACATTAATTCCTTATAACTTTTGATAGCAGGCAGCAATGTAGCACATTTATTTTCATGTATGTTTAGAATTTTTTATGTTTAACAAAATATATATATTTACTATACACAGTTTTTCCTTTTGCATGTAATATATCATTTACAATGACATTATGGTGCTGGGGGTCTAAATATTGTGATAAAGATATGTTATATTTTATATTTAAGTCCCCTTTCATCTTTTGTTTGTAAATTTGTTTACAGCGACATTTTCTTGATTTTTGCTTTGTTTTATGAAAGCTTCGCTTTTTAGATATAGAGTCTGCATGTTTTATAAGCATCTGAAACCCATCTGATCCCTGGTTTTGCTTTGTTCATGATTCATATAAGTACCTTTCACTTTTACATCGAAAGATACATGGCATTTCATAATGATCTAATAATTAATGAATATACATTTAGAGACTGCATGATAGCACATGAAAAATTCATTCAAAAATTTTAATAGACATATACACGTATACAAACATGACAAATATTAAACGAAGCAATGGCCAACACATTAACTTACTGGTGAAGCTAGCACTGTCGTAACCCCGAGCAGCAAAAGACAAAAAGCACCTCCACTCTTCATGATGGACGGACAAAATAATTACCCAGGACAAAATCATAAGGACCTCTGAAATAAATGAGGGCTTAATCTTTAATCTCTTTGTCATTGAATGTTTAAATTTGATGTTGATTTACAAATAGTGTGGGTGTTTCAAAATTCGTTAATCTAGGATTATGCTTTTTAATATTTCAAACTTGTATTTTAATTGGAGTCAATCTTTTGAATCAGTGTACGCATGGCGATTCTAATGCTTTTTAACACGGTATTTAATAGATTCATGTACAGATTTGTATGTCATTGTGATCTTTCGTTGCTTGATTTCAAAATCAATAGACGATTACCTTGTACATATTTAATACCAAAAAAGAATTAATTTTGAAAAGACACATATACGTTATTTTTATGCTAGATTTATTCCTTAAATGGATTTGGTGATGCCCATACCACGTATTATATAGAGTATCTACATGTATCTAGTTTCATTATGATGTTCTGTTAGGTCAAACTCAAATATTTTACTTTAAGTTTTTTTTTTACCAAATTGGTTTTTTTACAATTTTGAAGTGGTAAAATTTCCAAATTGGTTTGTCTTTAGAACGTTATATACAATATTTTCACAAAATAAAATAAATACCCGTAGACAGGTATTCCATAAATATAATAGCCAGTAAATTGACGTATTTTCGACAAAACATGTGTTATGGAAACTTAAACATGAAAAAATAATTATGTACAAATTTATTGCAATACGTGTTTTACAGAAGATCTCTCTTGTAATTTAAAAAATCTCCATTTCGGTGTAACTGATTTGAAGTTTTTTTGGAATATACCTTGTTCGTTTCAAAAGAAATGGACGTACATTTGCTTTAGCTAACATTTTACCCAAATTACATTTCACAAAATATAAAGAAATAGTATTACTTTCACATATTAAAAAAATAATTAGATGATTTGAAGTTTTTTGGTAGTACATTTTCCCAAATACACAATTCTTTCACATTTCAAAAAACGTGCATATAAATAAGAATTCTTTGGAACTCTGTGCAATAGTATGCGTATAGGAATTCTATTGTGTTTGACCAGGTGACATAACAAATCGGCAAGTCATGTTTACGTAAAGTGTTGCACGGTCTTATCGTAAATACATGTATTACCCTTAGGAAAAGGAAAGATAACTCCAAGTGAATATTGTGCAAGTATTCCTCAGAGTACATGTAACTCACTTTAAACTTCAGTCGAGTTAATGTTCTTGGTGATAAAAAAAATCACCTTATTGCTTATCAGATTCACATTTTCAATTTAAGAAGATACATTTTTTGTAAACCAAAAAAAAAAATAAAAAAAAAAAAAATAAAAAGAAATATCGTTTGACTGATCTTTGAAAAAAACCTTCTTAAAATGGGACTTTATCATTTAAATTTAATGAAGTAAAGAAGAAAAAGGATGATTAAAAGATTTTATTAGATAATGATAATCGTTTTAGCTTTGAATAAAAAGTTTCTGATTTACACTTCAGACAATTTTTCCATTATCTCGACATTTAGATAAATAGACGATGAATTGTCAATTAATAATGGTTATATGAAGATACGATATATCCTGGTGAGCTTGAGATAAAAGATACTACAGATTCTGACACATTTGGTTTATATTTGGATATTTTACTTGAAAAAGACGTTAATGGTAAATTTAACAAACAAGCTCTGTGATGACTTTAAATTTTCTATCGTCAACTTCCCTTACTTATGCAGCAACATACCTTCATCACCTGCATACGGAGTTAATAAATCTCAGTTGATTCAATACGCAAGAGCATGCTTTTCGTAACTTCTATTGTCGATACAGTGACCTTGTCAGCTACTGCTGAGTGATGTTTTTCATACTAATACTCTTTCGCCCATTCTTTATACACGGAATTGACGACGCATTTTCCCGTTACATGTATTTCCCGATCATGACAAAGAGAACACAGCGGGTTTGATCCATCAGCAGGGATGTTCACTCCTCCATGGCACCTGATCCCACCTATGGTGTTATTTAGAGGTCCATGTTTGCTCTGCTCCAATTTTGTATTGTTTTATGGACTACTGATCTTGAAAACTGCTCGTTATCTCCATATGTTTCCTCTTAAAAATACACAAAATTGACAACTAACTAACAAAATTGTTTAAAGAAAGTTCATTCCACATTTTTCTTTTATTTTCAAAAAGAAATGTGATGAGAAAATATTTATAATTTGTTATACTTCATGTTCAAACAGTCCATTTTTGCTAATAATGAGGTTTTTAACTGTTTTTGCTGAATATTTAAGTCTTGGAAAATGACAAATATAGACAAATCACACTCAATAAAGGCGAAAACAAATTTCAAAATCTGTTAGCTTTGGTGCTAAAAGTGTAATATAAACTTTAAAACGATACAACAAGCCAGGTTAATTTTTTTATGAGTAAAATCAAAATGACAACAAAAAAAATCAGAAAATGTACATAGGGTAATTTTTACCATTTGACTTTCACTGTAGAATTCACCTGGTTTGGTATATTTTTCTGAAGTGTATATGACACGCTTACAGTGTAGCACCAAGCTAACATACTCTGAAATTATTTTTCATCTATAAACCTTAACTGAGTGTGTTTTGTCCACATTTGTAATTTTATTGAAATATTACTAGTATTTTCAAAGTTTATTTATTTCATTTTTCAGTCCTGAGGAGAAAAAAACTACATGTATAAGAAATATCCACTTTTCTAAACCTATGAGTCATGATAGTAAGTCTCCTCCAAAGAACAACATTGTTTGTATCATCTGTCCATAATGATGAAATCTTATGTACTTTATATGAATTGCCTAGAAGATTCGTAAAATGAAATTATATGTGAAATCACTAAATTCTTCTTCCTTTTGTATTTTAATTTTTTTCCTTAAAAAGGGTTTTGTATAATGGTGGCGTTTTCGACATATTAGGAAACACTGAATGTTGTACTCATATTAGATTTCTGTATTTTAAGGAAACGTATTCATTATTAATGATATTAAATAGTCAGTTTTTGGACCCATTTAGTCGGAACAGTACGTGTACATGTACTTTTGGCATATCACTGTTTCCCTTTCCTCACTACGTAAATACAATAATGATATGAAATGGAATTTGTATTTAATACTGTAATTTTTAATTGCATTAAATCTTAATTAAAACAATTTTATTGATACCTTTCTCAGATAATTGCCTTGCGCCGTTAAAAAAACGTATAAAAGAAAATTTTATTCTCTCTAAATAATACTCTTTAAGCTTCGTCTACTGCCATACTTGAAAAGTGAATACTAGTACCGGTATTACCCCATCCCACTCCATTCTCTACTGTTTCTCACTGAAAACAAGAATTAATTCAATATATAATTTTCATTTTTAATTTTGCTCATACTCAGTATTTTGATGCTCTGATTTTGATTAATTCGACGGTTAAAATAAAATGATCAGGAAACATGATATCCCTTTCATTTTCTGGCGTTGATTTTTTTCCCGTTGTTTGTATGATTGTCAGCTGATGGGTTGGAATTTAACTGAAATATAAAGTGCTTTATATATACATTCTATATCGACACTGAACAAAGTAGTGTTATTCGTTAAGTCCCCAAAATGTTTTTGATATTAGTCAACTTCCACTTTAAGTGTGGTCATGTGATTTCAACATTCCGTTAAGATGGAGGACAGCATGCACGGTTTCGGTATGTAAAGAAACTTATTTTTTACTTTATAGTTAAAAGTTTTGGACCTTGCACCTTAATATGTATAATTGAATGTTCCATTTTGTAATCTACAAACTTCTGCATCCTTTGTCATGTTGTAAATTTAGAATTTACTCGATGTCAGTCTTCTAGATAAAACAAAGTTGTCATTTTGTAACTTGTGAATTTACTGCCGCCAACCCAGTAAAGTAAACAATTTACAACGTGACAATTTATAGTGAACTTTATTTTTGTTCCATAGAACAAGGACAAGGTAGAAAAATAACCATCTCATCAAAATGGATATTACATGTACTAAAATACGAAGCTAGAATTGCAAAGAATAAATGCATGTGTATAATATTAATGATTCAAAGAAGTAAAGAAAGCCAAGAAAGTGCAAAAGATAAAATATAAATCGGAAATCTCTTTATCTCTTGCCAATTTCAAAAGTCCTCGCACACTGACGTCAAACACAAAGGCAGCCGCACGAGATATACATGCATATTTGGCCTCCTTAGATTCAGACACAGAGACAGATGCACACCAGATTGTGCATGTATATTTCGCCTTCTTAGCTTCTGACCTATCGACCTTCCTAATTTACATTCCAGTAGAATTATCGAGAAATCAACTCAGCTACCTTTCAAAGAGTTATCACAGAGAAAAAAAATGGAAATTGAAATATAACGTGATGAACTGCTTTTAAGGTGAACATATCAATTAATATAGGCACTTAAGTGATGTAATTTAAGACAAGAATTAATTTCTTGCAAATTGAGGGAAATATGCATGGAAAAAAATCAGAAACAAATAATCAAATGAATTTGACAGATAATTACCAATTTAGTTATGTTTGCTTCAAACTATATTAATTTGTTTACTATTAGTTCCTTATTACCACAATTAGAATTGGAAAAAAATTGCTTATTTTTATTCATTTCTTTATTTTTAACCTTTTGTCTAATATGACCCTTAGAAATAAACAAATATTAGATTTTAGAAAAAAAGTCTACCTGAGACAGAATTTATCATATGTTACCTAGTGCATGAATTTTTCATAGCACCTCTCACATACATGTATTGTGCATTTAGAGAAGAATGTGGTGCATGTTACCCCCAAAACATGGATAGGAGTACCCATGCAGTGTACATGTAAGCAAAGAACCTTTTTAAATCTCCTTACCATTTATTCATAACGAAATTGGAGGGGATATAGTAACACAATAATGTGAGTTTTTATTTGTGGGTGTGCTTATAATGTCCTGTGCTTAACGGAAGTGGCGTAATTTGCATTTGAATGCTGTTTTGATTTATAGACATACTCTTTGCAAGGGGATGCTCCACTGTGCAGTTCCCTTGTTATATATAAATCATAATTCAGAATTATATCCAGCACTATTATACAATTATTTAATGCCTGAGCAGTCAATAGACCAGAATATTTTTTCCGAGGTGCAGGGAACAGCTCAGTGTGTTCTATTGCCCGAGGCCAGCGGCCGAGGGCAATAGAACACACTGAGCTGTTCCCTGCACCGAGGGAAAAATTTTCTGGTCTATTGACTGTTCAGGCATTAAATAGTTGTTTTATTATCTAATTTTATTTTCCGTATCCTTTAGTGTTCACAACTGTATATTCAGTACAGAATTAAGGTTCCCGTACCATATTGTAAATTTATACCTAGATATGGTGCATCTTTAATATTAATTAAAGATTGATTGTATAGACTATTGGTTACATTCCTCTCAAAAAATTTTCACTCAAATGGAGACGCCACCAGTGGCCACCACTTGCCGGTGGAGATGGATCTTTTTCGTGCCAGCAGTGCACCTACTGCGACACGGGACTTCGGTTGATATAGATCTCACCCGGAGGACCGGTCTCCACGTCCCACAGTGTATTAATTAAAAGTTACTCTCATTAAATAAAATATCCGACCATTGAAATCACACAATTTTTAAAACCAATGTCGAAAGATCGAATAAGATGATTGTTTACCATGTCTGTGCAGTGTTACAAACAACTAAAATTTGAAACCCGGATCGGTTTTTTCCGAAATACGTTGCCGGTCAATAGAACGTGCAGTCTATTGACCGGTCAATAGATCGCCAGTCAATAGATCGGTTTGAAAAGATAAGAAAAAACTGAAAATACGTACAGAATAGATGAAAATATTTAATTTATAATAAGACAACAAAATTTATTGGATTAGGTAATAAACTAGAATAGTAACTTCTCTGTGATGACTCCGTGCTGAAAATCTGGAATAGTTACTGAAACGTCAAATCTGATACATGTAACTTTCATTTTGGAAAGCTACGAAGTACATAATTATTTTACATTACTAATTACAGAAAACTTTCCATATTCGATGATGGGCCCATGCAGATCATTACTTTATAGCACTGTTCTGTTTTGGATTCAATTATTACTAGTTCAGAATCATAACTGAATTTCGTAATAGCTGGGCTTTTCCTCGTCGTACTGTTTTCCTTATTCATATTTATGTTAGTTTGTCTGGACAACGAGACAGATGAAGCTTCAGAATAGTTTCCCTGTATTTAATAATTTTGAAAATCTTCCAATATATACTGTACATGCAAAATGATGCAAAACTTCCTTTTTGAAAGCTTTTGCAAATAAACAATGTGTAAAATGCGTAATTTAAAAATATATAAATAACAAGTATTAAAAAAAAAAAAAAGAATTATACCATCAAATGATTAGCGAAATGACAACCCCGTACACTTCGGTGACTCGTTATCATATAAAATCTCCTTCACCATAAAGCCCCAGCAAGTTTACATCTCAAGAGTAGATTTCCCGTTTCGGTTCTAGTGGCGGAAATCGGGATTACAAACACAAAATTTAATGGCGAACCCTTTGTATAAAATTTTTACGTGGATGATTTAATGTTGTGATAATTTTTTTTTGCGGAAAATATTATTTTCAAACTGTCACCAATGGATAAAGGGAGAATACCCCGCACTGCACGGGTTAGAGACAGAGAGGGTAAGATAAAATGACGTGGCATTTTTTTTTTTTTACATCTCTGTTTAAATCTACAATTAACATTGTTTTATTATGAAAATTTGTGTTTTGGTTATGTGAAATAATTTTATAAATCAAATCATAATGATCAGAAGAAATAACAGTAGTTAAACCTCCTTTTTATCGCCATTGGATAGTCTTTCAGTGTAGGTTGTTTTAATATTGCTACATCTATATGTAAGATCTATTGTCCTACTACATTTAACGTCATACTTTTCAACATGTGTACAGTTTCCGGAGGTAAACCTCACCCCTTTCATTGTTAATGTATTTTATTTCTTTATATTTATTGTATATATATATATATTTTTATTATGAATTAATATCTATTTTTAAACGTATTGCTTGATACTACAAAAAATGAAGATATAAGATGTAAAGTTACATGTAACTCCTAAGATAATTAAAGAATATTACTACATTTTGCCACACAACAAATCATATATAGTGTGTCCTATATTTCAAAGTTTCATTCTTTTTCTGGCAGACAACTTTTTTTAACAGTACAGATTTGTATAAATGTATGTTTATATATAGGAAATGGTACATGTAAGTGTACCATACTGTCCTTACAAGAAGAATATATTACACATGTTATGCTTTGAATGAAACATTACTTTTTGCACAGCCAAGTCTTTGAAAATTAATTTAGACAGCGTTGTATATTTCCCTGGTGTTTAATTGATGTGCCCTACTATTTTTGTTGTATGGTGTTAAAATATATTTCAAACATTCACACGTACTAATTATCCTTTCGCAAAGAAATTTAAGGGGATATAGTAACACACTTGTGTTTGAGGGTATACTTTTGGGTGTGTATTAGTTTCTCCTTGTGCAAAACGAAAGTAGTGTAATTTGCATCGGGGTCTATGATTAATTTGACCTTGATTTATACTTTTGTGAGGAGATAACCCGCTTTCCTATGCCCTTTTTAGTATCAGTAAATCCTCTCACACATTTTAGAGTAGTTTTGTGATACTTTTTTCTCACAGTTTTGATGTTTTTCTCTTTCAGAGAAATATCAGTATGATTTGAATAAGTGTTACATGTACTACTTTGACTTGAACAACAATTCGGCAAATTACACACCACCGGAAACCACTGCGCCACCAGAAGTAAAAACGCCAATTTCTCCTCACATTACTGGCTCAGGTATAACCAACTGTTTATGTGTATACTTGTACGTATATGTTAAGTCTACTACATTTTTTATTTCAAATGAACTTCTTTTTCATTCTGATTTATTCATACATTGGATATAAAATTTTATATCTAGGCCTAGTTCTGCTTTCTTTTATGAATTCCATACTCGCTACAGTTTCGGAGATATAGTTTATCATTTTTGTTCTTGCTTGTACATGAAGATAATTAAATTAACTAACGTATGCAATCATATTGGTTCTCCTGGCCATTATACAATGTACAATACATCAATTATTTTAATGTATTCCAGTTTTATTTATCTTAGGAACTAATATCATTACAATCATCAACATGCTTAATTTCGGGTTCCTCAGTCCCTCAATTCCTTATCAAGCTATAATTACATTTCCTGCATTGAATATAAGAAACTATTTTAAAGGTTACTTTTTTCTTTTTCAGATATCTTGAGTAAATATTTGATCTATATAATAGCGGCCGTTGTGGCATTCGTGATAATAGCCTTATTTGTGATCTGCTGCTGTATCCGACAATGTTCAGCTGCAAAGAAAGAAAGAAGAAAAAGGTATTTATAGGTTAATTAAAACCTATTAATTAATCAGTTTGAAATTAATAAAATAACTTATATTTGTTGGCATTAATATTTGAGCCACTTCAAAAAATACGTTCAAGTAAATTAATTAAAATACATCTTACTTTTTTTGTGAAGGTTCTTCAATTTTGAAGATAAACGAATACAAGAAAAAATAAATGAATGATATTGTTATGTGATATTCGCTTAAAATAATACATGCACGTGCATTATTTCAAACTGTTCATAACTGATGTGCAATAAATGATACTAGGAAATGCATTTGTACAAAATAAACAGAAAGTTACATGCATAGCTCAACATTTTACAGTTCTATATTTTAAAATCGTACTAATTTTCATCACAATTCTCTTTAAAATATAGAAAACAGAAAGAAAAGCTTGTATTTTGAAGTAACAAATGTATTTTAAAATAAATTTTATATTTTGATCATCTTCTTTTGCAACTTGCAGGAAAGAAATTGAGGGTGAATACAAGATAGTTGCAAGTACTTTAACAAATATAACGGATTCTGAGGACGGGTGCACTTATGAGACATTAAGCATGGTAAATATCAACTATAAAATATCGGACTGTTTAACTATGCCATTTTCTCAAAGAGTACTGCTGCCAGTGCAATGTCACATCATCTTTAAGCGAAACAATATTTCCCGAATTTTGGATATTGTTTCTCATCATCTTAAATAAATTTATTTAATTACAGATGAGAAAGAAATAAGGAGAAAAGTAAAATCTTGCTTATAAAAAGTTATTTTTTAGCATATAAATCGAAGAGCAAACATGATAGGTATTTTCAGTGTATAGAATTTGAACCCAGAGAAAACAAGTATCTTACAATAAAAGGATTAATATTGTACATTTGTATTTATTACGGGGAATCTTAATTGATTCTTAATATTTAAATTTAGAGAGATCCAACGTATAATGGAGGCGTACAACTACCAACACGTAAGCATCAGAAAGGGAAAATAAAAGGGGTCTCCAATCCTTTCTCGGTCATGAAGCGCCTCCTGAGTGAGGACGGAGAGAGCACCGGAAGTACAGAAACCACCATTACCTATACATCGGACACCAAGCGGTCACAACCACTTCCGGCCATACCGGAAGCTTTCAATAACAGAGATAATGTGAAGGCTATAGATGAATATACCGAGATCGGATCGGACAGCATTAGGCGCAAGGATGAATATAATCACCTGAATTCACCGACAAAGAATGATGGGTTTTATGATGGTAATCCGTACGACACGTTAAGTGAGAATCACACTCTGAGCTCTGGACTCAAAGAAAAGAAAACGGACGATTATTTTGTTCTGGAGAAGGACAAATTAGGCAAGGAAAAAGGAAAAGAAAGTCCCCAAAGACAAAGTGGTGGGTACTTCTTGTTGGAAAAAGTAAACAGAGTCGATTCAGAAAAGGGGTTGTGTAAAAGTAGTTCTCAAGGAGTTATAATTCCATCGGAATCTGTACGTGCGCTAGAAAACTGCTTGTCTGCTAAATATAGTGATCAAAATATTGCTAAACAACAAATAACCAGTAACCAAGAACTTGTTAATGGTAATTCAAATTTAGATTCAAACATAAATAAACAGGGAAGTCAAAATCAGAACAGAGTAAGCAATGCTTATTTTACTCTTGCAAAAGGAAATGAATCGAACACAGCGGAACCACCTCCCCTTCAAAATGAATATCTAGACCTTGAACAACCATCTGGCATTTCTAATCGAACATCATATTTAGAACCGTCTGAAGTCCAAAGACACAGCTATGTGGATGTAGTGGCCGACTTCTCTCAAAGGAAAAATAAAAAGGAAGGTACAATACCAGCCTACGCAGTGGTGAAAAAGTGAGCCTTTGTCAAAAGTCCATGTACTTGTATATGAAAACCACTGCTGTTTTCTGATACATGTAATACACGAGTTAAGATTATCAGAGGAAAACGGCCCTTGATGAAAGCGATCCACGATAGAGGAAACAAAGACCTATTTTGTGTCGACAGTGTGTTGTATACTTTGACTTTTAAGAGAGCAGCTTTTTATTCGTGTAATTATGCACAAAATTCTTTGTTTAGTGAGAGGTATGCCAAGCATTTTATTCCTTCACTGCAAGATACCAAAATTAATATAAGTTTGTGGTTTAATTTACATTCTTTCAAAGAGGGAGGAAGATTTTGATGCAGTGCTATTTAGTATTTTTAGAATAACTACTAAACTTAGAAATACTATTTTGTGTGTGTATAAAGTGAGTTCATAAGGCATGCATATTCCAAATTCATAAATAAAATGAGTTTAAAGTTCGTAGTTTGATCATTCTACTTTATTTGGAATATTTATATTAAAGATTGAATTTGTATCTGTTAGATTAACTGTCTAATATGAAAACAACTTAGCATGTGATTTCTTTGTGACAAAAACTTTCATTGTGACAAAAACTATACTTGGATACCAACATACTTGACTTCATGTAAATTTCCTGTGAAAAAAACTTTCTCGAGGAACTTATCAATAATTTTGACTTTTTAAATTCGACCTTCAAGCTTAAACTACTTTTTAGGGGTGTTCCGATATTTTTACCTTTTCACATTGACCTTAAGAAGAGGCTGACCTACTTTTTACTTTTGAAAATAATTTTATCTTAGCCTAGAGCTGTCATGCGCATATGGTGGTATATATACTATATTTTCTCCTTTATATCAGCCACTCATAAACTACATGCAAGATACATTTATGTAAGTTATATTAAAATGCAACATTATTATGTAGACATGCAAATAAATTTTGTTGATATGCAAGTTACCAATTTTATAAGAAAATATAATTCAAGTATCTGACATCGTAGATGCAAGATGCAGCATAGTTACATGCGACTTGTGTCAACATGTAAGATAATAAATGTAGAATTTAGACTAATTTTTGTCAGCATGCAAGATAATTTGTCAACATTCAACTTATTTATGTCAACATGCAAGATAGTTTTTCAACATTCAATTTATTTATGTCAACATGCAAGATAATTTGTCAACATGCAACAAATTTTTGTCAACATGCAACTTATTTATGTCAACATGCAAGATAAGTATGTTGATATGTAACTTATTATCTTGCATGTTGACATAAATATTTTGAATGTAAAAATATAACTCGCATGTTGACATAAGTAAGTTGCATGTTAACCTAATTATCTTGCAGGTTAACAAATATAAGTTGCTGACTACATAATTAATCCGCATGTTGACATGAATATCTTGCATGTTAACATAAATAAGTTGTATGTCTACATAATTATGTTGCATCTTGCATCTACGATTTCTGATACCGGCGTTAGTCATATTTACCCACATTTATTTAAGTCTTGCATGTAGGGGGCAGAAATATGCAACCATATAATAATACTCTTTTAATGCCCCCCTAATGGAAGATTCCTGCATAGTTTTTGCCCTGTCCGTCAGTCTATTTTACCTGGTGTCTGTTTCTTTTTCTGTTTTTTTTTTCGGAAAAAAAATCACCTTTGCCAATAACGTTTCAATTTGATTGCGACTATGAGTTCCCTGTTTCACTCAAAAATTCCTTGCAATACGGACTTTCTGTTGGTTTCATCATTTTTGTATTTGACCTCTTGATCTTGAGTTTTGTCCACTTTACAACAAAATAACCAAATCTGAACCTTACCCGTGATTACTTTTGAACATTGTTACTTTTGAACATTTAGTCTTATGGTTTTCTCACTCTACTGTATATTCATCGTGACATCGTCTTTAATGGGTATATAAATATTTTTGATCGTGACCTTACCGTTTGACCTGCTTTTGATGAACTTTATTGAACTTCAACTTTAGGTAGAACTTTTGAAAATTATGCACTATTGGCTTTCATATTTCATAGATATATTTCTTATGGCAAGACTTTCCTTCGGATACCAATATATAAAACCTTTTAACCCAGACCTTTGAGTTTGTTCTTTGAAAAACTTTAGCTATAACCATAACTATTGAATAGTTTGTGCTGGCAAGGGCATTTATATTTCACACGTATATTCTTATATGTATGGCAATCTCTTCCCTGGGTGCTTGTACCTTTAAATAGCAAAATGATTATCAAATATGTTACCACCCAGTCTACAAAAATCTACAAAGCAAATCCTGTTAAATTCTCAAGAACGCACTAGTCTTGCTAATGGGGAAAATGTAAGAGGAATTCAAGTAGTATGATATTATTTAAGGAATCGATGTTTAGTTTGTCGGGTATGCAACGGCTCAACGTAAAGTAGTTGGGAAAGGTGGGATAATTTGCAAAAGGGGGCATAAATTATCCCACATTTCAAATTGTCGTTTATGCTCCTGACAAACACAACAAACTATAGAGTGATTCCTCCTATTGAAATATATATATACGAGGGTTGTCCCATAAAATCGTGGACAAAGCGTTTTTCTCGAAAAGTAATGGGCGCACTAAGCTGAAATTTTCAGTAAATGTTTATTCATCATATTTAAGTGAATCATAATGTTTTTGATGATATATATTCAAAAACAAAGATTTTATTCTGCTTGAATGTGCACAAGGTATGGTCCTACGGCGCACGGTAAAAATAGCATGTTTATATTAGAGAAGACATAAGAATTAATTCGTAATAAAAGTTTTCAATACATAAGATTAGGATGAAAATTATCCTAATTCCATTCCTTAATCAATTCTGTCGTATTTTTAAAAATTTCAAGGCATTTGGGTAATTTTTGGCAGTTTCCCGAGCAATTGAAATGGGAAAGTAATAAACACAATTCACGAAAAATGGCGACTTTTTATGACGTTACGGCGCACCGGAGAGCAGTTCAGATAGATTAGGATGTTGTAATGACGCCTTAAGAGACTTTAAAGGAATACGGAAGAAAGAAAATATGAAAAATATCACCAGATCTTTAGTATATAAATGAAATGAAAGTTTTCTTAGTGAAGTCTTCGTGGTTGAGTCCCCAGATAGTACAAAACATATGGATTCTGCCATTTGTAATAGCAAAGGACGCTGTCACTGTCGACCGTCGATGTGAGATTCTCTTTTAGTTGAATGATGGTGAGAATACTGTCTGTAACTTGCTAATAAATATTCAGAAGATCGCATGAGTGTGCCACATTGGTTTCTTAACTGGTTATAGATACTCACATATGTAAATCAATAAAATTTCTAAATTTAAGTTTCGCTTATCCAACTTTAAGTTTAGCAAAGATGAAATGTGACGCTGTTTTAGACACTTTGACGTTATCATCCGTGCGCCGTAGGGCGATACAGTACATAACATAAAATATCACGATTTGTTTACCTATGCATATATCTATTTGAAATTTGCTATGTATATTCATAATTTATCTGCTAAAAAGTGGTGAAAATTTCAGAACGCAGTGATGATTATTTTTCAAACTAGACAACTTGTCCACGATTTTACGGGACAACCCTCGTATATATATATATATATATATATATATATATATATATATATATATATATATATATATATATATATATATATATATATATATATATATATATATATATACATGTATATATATATAAAAGAAATAACATTCTTAATGTTTTTTTCAACACAGCTGTCTTATAAAACTAAAAACCACTTGTCATTTTGATAAAATTCTACAAATGATTTTCAAAACAGCTGTCTAAAGGAACTAAAATACACTTGTCAAGGCCAGTCATGTTAATTTCGATAGTACCTGCCCACTCACGTCAGGCACAAAGACAGCCGCACAAGACTGATATGCATATTGGGCTCGTGACCTTTCACTTGGCAAAATTAACATTCAGGTGTAATGATAAAGAAATCAAATCGCCTGACTTTCTCAGAGTTATTAGGGAAAACAATTTAGGGAAAACAATTTGAAATGAAAAGCATATTTACAAGACAACACCTGCCATTCCAAAAGATTATTTGGCAGAAAAAGAAGAAAATCCGGAAGAAAGGACCAATATAAGAACAATAATTCCTTTCTAAATTTATTAAGTGTAGATATAAGATCAAAACTCAACAATTTTAAATACCCTTTTATTTATTTAAAAAATACCAAACCTCAACAAATCTGCAGCTGAGAGCAACAATATTGTATTTATTTGATGAACATTTACATGTATTTGAAAATATATTAAATGAGGTTTTAAATAAACATGTATCACATTTATTACAAATGAAAAAATAACAAATAAATTAAAAATGAATTGGATGGAAGCCATGCATGTAATACTTAAAATTTCCATGCAATACTACATGTAAGCAAACTGAAAATGTCATAAGCCATAAATTAAAGAATTCAAACAAGTCTTTATTTTTCTAAAACAAAGTACGTATGATAATTATCCGGGGATTTTTCTTCTGTCGGTTTCCCAGATTCAGGTGTTATATAATCCCCGTCTGTAACTTCCGTTTCCGGTTTTTCACTGTTTCGTGCAAGTTTATCGTATGGTTCAGCGCTGTTTTCGTCATCAATTGAGACGGCAGACAGTGCGTCATATCCTGCTCTGTCGTTAAGGTTTTCTCTACTGGCTCTCGGAGTCACATATCCGGCTCTGTCTTCATATACACCATCAGAGGGTGCTGTAGGCAGTGGTCTACTTCCGGTGCTACCTCCACTTCCTTCCTCTCTTTCAAACGTAGTTGTGTCGTTGCTAACTCTGAATGATCTCTGCAACTGAAAACATGAATATCATGAAAAATAGTATCAAACAAGTGTGGCGAATTTTCCCCACATTTTAGATTAGTAAACGTTTTTAACAAGGAACATTATTCTTCTTATGCAATACAGATTTGAATTATTGAAAATTCTTTAAATCAAACTCATTTTTTTATTTTAATAATCTCACAGAATGATAAATATGTGTCACCAGATTTCTACAAAAAGATTGTACATATGGATCACTTTAAAAATCAAATAGTTTCTAATATTTCTTAAGAAGCAGAGATTGCTTTAAAACTTACGTGTTTCTCGTCAATTTCAGCATAAACATCCGAGTTGGTTCTCATGAAGTCCTTGTATCGAGCGGATGTGGTTGGAGAACTTTGAAAGGCCACCTTGTCTTGAGTAGGAGGTCTAAATGGAAATCATAATTAATAATAACAAAAATTAACAGAGTTCACCTAAATATCATTTTATAATATTTATCCAATTTATTTTATAGACTGCTCAAAATATTCTGTTGATTAAAATCTACTTTGTTTGAAACCAATAAAAGTTACATTAGCAAAAGGATTAAGTATAAGTGATAATTATCCAAAAAGTGGATTACAACTGGTTTCCTGTTAAGTTATAAGAGTGACCTACCGTGACCTTTTTCTTCGAACAAAGCAGACCAGCGCAACAATAAGAATGATGAAAAATAATCCACCAATTGCAGCCCCGATAAGAGCGGACGTCGGTAAAGAAGATTCAGATCCGGAAGCAGCTATCTGTCCCTGTCCGCCGGCGCCAGGAATGTTGGGAACGGGAGCTGTTGTTCCGCCTGCTAGAACAAGAAAAAAAACTCGAAATTAATTTTTGTACATGTATATGTTCCAGTCTCCTTGTTGTGTACAGTCAAAACGCAATACGGTAAGACAAGAAAGATGGAAAGCAATTTTAAACGTGATCGTTTTGGTTTCTTCTAGCTCTGTATGGTCTAAGATAACATATAGGGTCAGATAGGAGGATGGATAGCAAAACTAAGAGGAATTATATAGCAAAATGAATGTGAATTAAAATGGGCAGGTCACTACAGGCATACATGTACATCACTTAATTAAGAAGTGATTTTTTTAAAAATTAAATTTCGTGTTGACCTTAATATCTGAGTACAGGTCCCCCAAAAACATTTTATTTATTTTTTTTGGAGAAAATATTGTATTCTTGTGTGAAAATCAATTTTCTTTGTTTTGTTTTATTTCTTTTTTTTTTCTTTTCAATAAATATGAATTAGGAAATTTCCGGTTGCACTGCAATTCCTGAATATACAAAAAAATGAATGACAATATTCATTATTGTCGAACAAATTTGAAAATAGTTCCTTAAGGGAAGTATATTAAGGCAGATATTTTGAGTTCAAAACCAGATCATACAATGCAGATTGTATGAAAAGACGGAAATTTGATTTAGGCTACATGCAACAATAAAAAAAAACATTTTTTTTTCAATAAAGTCTTTTAAGAAAGTTACTGTAGCTCTATGCATGTGACAGTTCAAACAATAAATTATGCCATCAGAAAATCCTAAAGACCAACGCTTGTTACAATGTACAGTTTGATATTTTAAAATGTGTAACATGATATATTGTATAAATATTGCATGATCATACAATGTAAATTATATGAAAAGACGGAAATTTATATGATACTGAATGTTTTATACAAATACCTATTACAGTGAACCGTGCGCGCATAAAATCACCCGTCGCAAAGCAAATGAATGTTTACTGTTGCTACGCAGGAGGGCGTGGCTTCATTATTCAGCGAGTAGTAGTGTTTTTTATCACATATTTTCCCCTTTATCCCGTTGATATAGCTTATGTGATATCGTTTTCGCATCAACACTATGTATTCCTTCGCCGCGTGACGTAATGTAAATAAACAAATACATGTGTATGATAGAGAGAACGACTTAAAATTTGTCAAATTTCACTTTATTTGATGTATTTTAACAATATTTCATTCCTGAACTATAAAAATTAGTACTAAAATATTTTCTTTCTTTTATATTTGTTCATACAGCAATTTTAAATTTGGTCCGAGGTGCATTGAATTAGAAATAACACAAAATACACATTTATAGTGAACACAAATATGTGATAAAAAGAATCTCCCTTGATTTGTGGTTTGATATGTTTTTTTATCCAACTCTTGTGTGTTTTTACCCCTCGCCAAGGCTCGTACACACAACTTTAAAAATCATATCAAACCACAAACCATGGGAGATCCTATATTTATCAAATGTTCCTCGACGAATCAGATTCAAGCAATTTACATGAAAGTATAATATTATATAAATATTGCATGTAATTGAGTGTAACATTGAAAATTTCCACCCCAAGAAAACCATTGTGACAATGGTTTTCGAGGGGTGAAAATTTTCAATGTTACACTCAACTACATGCAACATTTATTATATTATACTGAATGTTTTATACAAATACTTATAACAGTGAACCGTGCCCGCATAAATTCTGCGCAGTCGCTATTTTTTGTAATACCAACCGCAGTTACCATTGAAATAATACAAAACAGAACATGGCAAACATCAGAGGTGGGATCAGGTGCAATGTATTTGTACAAGTATCCTCTATGACTGGTAACAACACCCACCAATGTTCCATGATTGATTAAGCGGAAAATGTAATATACATGTATTCATAGTAATCATGCTTATTCTCTTGGTTCCTTATGAGGAATTACCTGAATTTCCAGGACAGTGCTGTTTGTAGAATTTCTGTACCATCAGCAGCTCCTCGTTCAGGTCTTTGTTGACTATTTCTGCTGCACTTTTACATTGGTCTTTGGCCAAAACCCTCGCCATGCACACCAAGGATTGGTCAATTTGTCTGAAGGAAGGTCAAATTGTGTCATTTTAACTAGGATAATACATAATAATTACTGCAGATTAGGACATACACAATTTTGCGGAATTAAAATGTTCTAAAAAGATTCATTTTTTTCATTTAAAAATCAGTAATGTCACAAAAAAAAAATCCGTATTTATATTGTATTGACTGCAAAAATATACCATTCTTTTATTTATGCAAAGAAGGAAATGGGAAAACTAGCTTTTAAAAAAAAATTCTTCATTTCCATAAGCCTGCTATAATCGCTATTCTGCATGAATTGCAATTAACATTCACCTGCATTGATTCGTCTAAATTATGAAAAAAATCTCAGGACAAGCTTTCTCTTACCCACAAGCCTCCGGAATATTTCCGATCGTGGGGCCCACATTTTGAGTGCCTGCCTCTGTAACTTCATCTATGTCTTCCGGTAAATTCTCGAAACATTTGGCAGATTTTAAACAGCACTTGTATCCGCTCGGGGAATTTCGAAAATCTGCAATATAAGACAACACAGTGAGAAACAAATAATGCTTTCTTTTTTCTTCGACGAGAAATAAAAATTGAGAATTATACAATGATCATCAGGTCCTTTGACAATGAAATTTAATCCTCTTTCGTAATCCACTTATAATATATCAAATAGTGTTTATATTACACGAGTACCTTACAAAAATGACCTCACAGAGAAAGAAAATAAAATTTCTACGAGTTAAACGCGCTTACCACTAAAATTATCTATTTCACACAAGTCGTCAACTAACATTGTTTAGAATTTTTAACATGGTCTTCCCGGAACGTGACTTAAAAATGAACTCATCTCTGATGTTAAAACTCCGTAAAAGCTTTAGGACATCACTTTAGTTACCTTAATAAATGAGTTTTTAGATAATAGTAGACTAAAGGTGAAAAAAACGTTTCATGGACAGTCGCTTGTCGACAGATGTAAAGTGTTTATTTCATTGCAAAGATTAATTTTTAGGCTGTGCATGTTATAATTTCTAAGATATTTATCAAAATTAATATAAATCTCTCTCTCTCCTCTCTCTCTCTAAACGTGACTTCGAATGTACACAACACATCAACCAAGAATTTTGCCCTAAAGCGATATGAACTTCCTTTTCTTGACGTATCACTCCTAACACAAACCAATATTTCATGGCGGCATTAGCAATCATAAGCGACTTTCTATGTCGAGGACTGGCTATGGTCAGTTCACCAAGGTATGACGCACGTAATATGCACATGTACCTAATACATGAATGCAAATGAAACGATTGACCGTTTTCCTATTATTTAAAAATATACTATTTTCTACCTGTCCCCGTTATTGTCCCGGCTATTTCATGTATGTTGTTTTATTTTAGAATACCAACAATCAATGTCATGTAACTTTTTTAAACAATCTAATAAAGAAAATTCATCAGTATCACAACTATTCAGAGTGATATAATCAATACACCTAGTTGAAGAAAACACAAAAAAAAAATCCAAGAACTGGAACAGGTAAATAAAATTCCACAGATATTCCAAGAAAGACAAATCTACATTCACAACTGATGTATATTTCCTTTCCCTTCGGAGATGACTTTCGGAAACTTACAGCGATATACCCCGCTCCACTGTCTACAAATCCACACCTTGTAAGATCGCAGGCGTCTGGCGCTAAACTCAACACTGGATGTAGCGTTCGACATGGTTTATATTTGATAAATGTCAAAGATTTCGGATTATTTTGTTTGTTTGATCTCGTATGACTCATTCAGGTAAATCAGTGATGGGCCACAAAAAACCGGACGCGGTAGTGGTGGACATCGTATGGGGAAATTATAGACGTCAATAGATTACGCGTGAATAAAAATAAGGTTTTTGTGATGTAGCAATTTTTTCATGAAATAATCCTTTATTTCCTAAAGTATAAAGTATTGCTTATGTGAAAGTGTACAAAATCTATAACAATTATTTCTAATGATAAAATGAAAAAAATGAGAAAAAAAATGCAGGAACTACTTTGGTGCAGGATAAGGCTATACTTCAATATAGTTGTTCTGTTATTTAAAGTTTACATATACAAAAATTGAATGTTAGTTGCTTGTAGTTCAGCTGTTATTAATGATAGCAATTTTTCTTTCATTTCTTTATGCTTTGTCCAAGAAAAATAGACATGTTATTTGTCTTTCTTTTTCAAATTACATCAAATGAATACTTTTTCATTGTCGTTAAACCAAAAATACACTTGTGATTTTTTTTCTTTTTGAAAATACATCAATATCTTTATGTTTTGTCAAAGAAAAAATAAAATAGATGTATTCTGTTAAATCTGATACAATATATTTGTCCTTACAACTGATATAATTGATATGCATGTTCTCGATTCTTTTAGATTTTTGTCAAATAAATGTTATTTCTTAACCCATAAATAAGAACATTTGGTATTCGTTATTGTCTAGACAGCTTCAGCTTTTGCTTAATATAGACTTGCCAACTTCATTATTATGAAAACAGACAGTTCTGGTTATTAAGCTCCCTCATCCTTTACCTTGTGCACTTTCGTCTCCACAATCAAGCTTACTCCTTTTTCCGTTTACGTATCCCGATCCCAACCCAGTTAAAGGAAGAGATTTTGGTCCCACATGTAAATAATCTCTATCCTTTTCCGTTATGTTTGAGTTCTGATTTCCTCTTGATCTATCCAGGGTCTGACTTTCTGACGCAGGTGCATCATTCTGTGGTAGGGTGTTGTTTTGAAGCGTTTCTGTTAAGGTAGTCTCAACCTTTAAGGTTGTATCTTCCTGTATCGGGGCTTTCTCTCCAGACTGGTCAAATACGCGGGGACCAAGTACTCTTAACTTCTCCCTGGCCTTTGCCGGGACGTAGTTTCCCCGTGAAGTTCCTGGGATCAGATTGGAGCTCCGCAGGTCCCCTTGCCTACCAGGAACGGTCCTTGGAAACTTTTGTCTTCCATCCTTTAATGGTCCAAATTTTAAATCATCCCTGGCTTGCATTAGCTTTTTATTCATCGGCAAATCCATAGCCTTTCCTTTAAATATATCCTCTTTCACCTTTAATCCATCTTTAAACCTATGCATTGCTAACACGAACTGCACTTCTCTGAAGCCACATAGATGTTCACTTTTTCAGAAGAAATTAGGTTTTATCAAACAATAATTTTCGGCTTGAACACAGAGAAATACCGACAAGGAGCAACTGATGATGTCACTCGTACCTCGTTCATCAAATCCTGTCAAAATTGTGTCTGCATGACCAATACTTTAACCTCCATCGTCACGACAACGAGCATTTATATACTTAAACTCTCACCCTCACAAAAATATAACCTCAAAAACGCAACGCTCTCAATTACACTTTTTTTTCACATTTTACGTTGATTTTAAATGTTTCGAAGAAAGAAGAAAAACATGTTTTGTCGTGTTTTTGTTGCCTAGCATAGTTTGTTACTCGTGTACAACATATCCCCTCGGGACAAATAGTGTTATGACAGATTTGTTAAGCTATCCGTAAGATCTACGTGTACATTTGGTAGATATAGCACCGATTTTGATCCCTATCATGATTTTATCCGCGGATCAAATCAATTACAGCTGTATACATACTAGTACCCAGTATATACTTCTGTGTATAATTCGATAATTTGCATATGGTAATTTTTTTTAATTTTTCAGAAATAAGGAGCGATCCTTCTTTTTTCATTTTGTAAATCAACTTTTGTTTTATTTATACAATTTGAAATTGATCTCCAAAGTTTCTCCCCCTATTTTATCGAACTACACACATGTATTTTCTTATTTATAAATCTGCAGTGCGGGTATATAATTATCTATGGTACTGTAACTGCAGGGCAAAATAATCTAAGAACTATGACCATGTAATTCACGAAGTATACTACATTTGTACATGTATACATTAAATGTTACCGGTGTATTTAGTATTGATTTTGCACAAATAATTAATGACGAAACTCAATGCATACATTAATTTGCAGAAATTAGCGTGTCTGGGTTTGAACAATGACGATTTCCTTGATATTAATTGTTAATATATCATGTATAATATAAGCAAAATACTAACACGGAAAATATATTTAATTAAAAAAACCATGCTTTTAAAATGAAAACTAGTTGTCTATGCGGGAGTATTGAATGTAATAAGTTTATAAATATCTCTGTCTACGCTTATGAAAACAGAAAAAAAAAATAATTGTTGATAATAATTTTGCCTGAGGTAGTTTTTAGTCCGAGATTGATCACAGTATTACTCTTAAGAATCTTGTAATTTTTTGCAATAGATATGTGAATCGCGTAGCCCTGAGCGACATTAGTCTAACATTATAAATATCTATAGCTTAAGTAGTTAATCATGTCATTTCCCTTCTAAACAGAACAGCATATTAGGTCATTAATATCCAAGATGGCGATGAAAGAAAGATAATTCAGTTATGAAAATTTGTGATACATACACTCAAAGATTCTTAGAAAAACCATTAGTTTTAAAGTGTTATCATAAAATACATGACTGCATGCTAAAAAACCCACAAAATCTTGCGGCAAGTCTACCTTTATAAACATCCTTTAATTTTCTGATTAAAAGAAACAGCAGTTAATGTTAATTTCCTACATTTATACCAAATGCAATTTATTCAAAAATTCATTTTTATTCACATATCTAACTTTTATTCAATGGATGAACTCGTTATTTATTCAATTTTTGTTTTATACTAATTGTATCCATATATTTATATTAATAATATGTTCAGTAGATTGTATTTTAATATTTTCTTTTAAAGTATACACCATGTTACTAAAATGTTTTCAGGTAAAGAGCGTTTTGGACAGTTACTGTTGTGTACTAAGTGTATTTATCTTTACAATAGTGATAGTCGGTAGACTATCCAAATAATTAAAAAAAAAAAACTTGAGGGCTGGGTGGTTGTGGCCATTTTCAGACAATGTTGATTTTCTCTAGAAGAAGAGCTCCTCATAAAGATATAAAATACGATAAAATTATAAAACTACAATGTATGAAATTTTTCTTTTCCAAATGATAGTCGACAGCTTATGATATCATATCTTTAAAAAATCAGTTATAATATCTTATGGTTTATTTGTTGACCACCCAGCCTCCATAAAGAGTTTCAAGGTAAAGAAAGCTTTAGACATTGTCATGAATTCAGGGTTATATACCCTATAGTATTGCCATCATCACTCTATAGTTTCGTGATTTCAGGGTAATAGTGATACCATAGTATACATTGTAGCCATCACCACTCACCTTCTACTGGACATTTGAGTCTTCTCGCCTGTCTTCTTAGCCACTTCCTCCTTCGTCTTTCCGCCAATGCTTTATCCACTACATTAATGACAATATTGATTTGAGTTGAGTTGGTGTTGTCCAGGCTAGTAATATTTTTCAGATTTAAATTTATTTTGTCCTTTATATCTCTTGTTAAGTCTATTTTAGTTGGGGACGGGGTATTGGGTTTCAACGTACCCTCAAGTCCGGCATCCAACCCCGAGGGTGTCGAAGATGAGACAGTGGCGTCCTGGAATCCATTTGTTGTCACTGACGGTTTTGTTGTTGTGGACACACTTGAAGTTGTAGAGGATGTGGTTGAACCAACATCTTCTTGAGGCTTTTGAGTGGTTGATGAGGATGAGCTATTTGGGGATTTGGTTGTGAGTAAAATTAGAGGCGGCCCTTTGTCCAACCAGCTACCTGGGGACTTTGTTGAAACAGTGTCTGTGGAAGAAACTCCATTGCTTCCTTTGTCAAGCGATGGTACCGAGGGAGCAGGATTTATAATATTTCCAGCCAAATCGAAAATTGGTTTCTTTGGTGCCTTGGTTACAGTGCCACTTGCTACTCCATCATTTTGCATATTGGAATCATGAACAGAATTATCACTTTTCTTGATTTTCTTCTTTTTGATTTTCTTCTTTTCCTTCCGCTCGGCTTTTTGTATTAATTTCCTCTGGCGTCGGCTGAACTGAGAATTTTTGAAATCGGCCTCAGTTTCCACAAAGCCAACCACTGGTGCCAAAGAAGCCTTTGTCCGTTCTAAAAATATTGAGGGTGTGGATGGTCGAGAAGATGAGGTGACCTCATCAGGGTCCATTAACAAAGACGTCAAGTCCAGTAAGTTATTGTCCATTTTCCCCTCCAGCAAAGGTTTTCACTATTATGATGAATGCGCGCACGGACCTGTTCAGACAAAAACAATCAGTGAGGCACTTCGTCTAATTTCACGTAAATTTGAAACAATTCATCTTGTTGACACCTTTATAGACCAAAATTTTCCTCCCACAACTATTTCTCTCGACTTCTGTCCTATATTTTTGGAATGACTTCTGGAGTGAAGTGGTGTTTATGAATTAGCGTATAGTGATAACGTCTGATCTATGATTGCCGCAATGATAACTCATTGCATATCGTGACGACATTACCGAAGCTTGATGGATGACCAAGGACACGCTTCGCTGACCAGTGAATTCCTTCATGCAAGTTTTTTAAGGTGTTTCCCAATGCAGGAGGCGACTGTCAATTTTCGCTATGCATCGGCGGACATCTCTTTCCAGACGGCTCATTATGGATATGACGTAAAAATTTGACACCAAAACATAAATATTTACACATGATATAGAATGTTGCGGGGGAAATTAACTATGAAAACGTAATCAAATTTTTGAAATTCTTTTAAAGTTGCATAATCATTTTACTTTTCAGTTTTACTTTACGTCTTTTTAAAACTTTGGAAACAATAAATTTTCTTAATTAACATATGTTCTTGTGTGTTTCTTTTAATTTAATATTTAAAAGATACTTCTAGGCTTATAAGCATAAAGAATAGAATTTCAAAATACATGTAAACCTGTTTTTTCAAGCTGTGTGTAAGCAGTTTGTAATATATTTCTGATAATAAATATCCGAATATTTTCTACATACACTTAAAATACTAATATATCGGTAAAAATTTTACCAATATACAATTTATTTCTTCCCCAGTTCACAACAGTTTGGTGATTTTTTCATTAAATTTTCTTGTGGTGATGACTTTTTTTGAAGCTCATGTTTTTATGGATTTCTCCATGGAAGTTTACATGTTTGTGTGGATTTCTAACAGCCCCATTTTACTTTCATCTATTCCTTTTAAATGAATTACACGTAGAATTTGAAGTATTTGTATTTTTTGTGACATAGGGCAACATGAAGGAAATGGTCGATTTAGAAACTCAATTTAAAAAAAAAAATTCTTTTTGTATAGGATTTATTTTCCATCAAAACAGAACCATATTGTTCCTATGTTTATTTTAGAAACAGACCTTTAGCCAATGAGAACCAAAAAGTATTATTTTTTCATGTGGAAAGTTTTCATGTTTATCATTTCTTTTTTGCCCGCGAATGATGCAGTGGTTAAAGCTTTTTTAATCTCCAGATTTTTATGAGCAAGGAGTTGATCCAAATTTGTCACTTGTTCGATGTAAATTTGCATTAAAACAAACACATATATTTTTGCTGCTGTGCATAAATTTATTGAAAGTCGTGACACGGATATTTCTGAGAAATATTTCACTGTTCAATTTTGTATTTATATCTCAATGTACTACTGTAAATTTACCATGCATTCCGATTGCGATGGCGTTTCCAAATATTTTCAAGAGGGACGCTAAACAATAAACAAGTTAAACAAATAACACTTCAAAATGTGAAATTCACTTTCCTTAAGGCGAGCAGAGAGTTGATTCTGGATTATGAACGTAAAAGAAAAATAATAAAGACAAGCATGCTATATATTGTTGAGTCGAAAAAAGTTATCGCTATCGATTAATATCACTACATTCAGTTATTTTACATAAGGATACCAAAGATAGTTTGTACAGAGTTGAATTTGATATGTAGCTTAAAATATCGGTTAGCTTACTAAAACCCGGAGGTAATTTTTTTTTTGTTGTTGTTGACAATATTAAGATGCTCATGTGAATTATCTAACAAATTTAAAGCAGTAAACACATATTGACTAAAAATTAATTAAAAATATATGTAGCTTAAAATATTGATTAACTTACTAAAACCCGGAGGTAATTGTTTTTGTTTTGTTTTTGTTTTTTTTGTTTTTGTTTTGGTTTGGTTTTTTTTTTGTTGACAATATTGAGATGCTTATGTGAATTATCTAACAAATTCAAACACGTTAAAGTAAACACAGATTGACTGGAAATTAATTATTATTATTATTAGAGAACTCAAGTCTTTTATTTTCATCCTGCTATAAAATAATTTCACTATCCATTTCTTTATAATCATTTATTAAAAGAGTCTTTCCATGATTGTTTAAATTTTCTCCTTGCTTCAGTGAGAGCTGCAATTCACAATGTGTGAGCATGAACACTATATAGTGATATCTAAATATTTATAAATGCATTTATAATCTAATTACAAAATCTTAATTGACAAATTTGGAGAGACATTTCCCTTTGCTTACTTCAAGGAATCTTTTTCCCTCCCACTAGAAATGTGATTAAGATAAAAAATAGACAGATTGTCATTTCAAGAAAAAAAAATAATGATCAAAGACTTGTACAATTTTTCTTTATATAAAAATCAGTGTCAAATTTTTGCAAATTCATCCACTAGCTTGGCAAAAATATTTGAGTTGTGAGGTCTTCATTTTTTAAACACCTTTAAGGCAGATATATGATTACCCCATAGTGAGATTGCATCATATAGTTATCAAATGAAAAGCTTAGAAAATTGCAAAGGCAAAAGAACGGCGATCGTTTTTGTCTGAAGATTCACGGCGATTGTAAACAATTTTCTGAACCGCTGGGATCAGAGCACGCACGAAGCCAATGGTTAAAGTCTTCTATTAGCAAAGATGTAATATAGCTATTACTGTAAATGCTCACCAGAACATTAACTGTTAACAAGCTCTAAGATCATATTCTTTTGATATGTGGTAGTTTTATTTATGTTCATTTAATGATATCGATGGGATCTAAAGCAAAGGCTGGCTTAATTGTATTTTAATGAAACTAAGATACCAGAATGATTTTACTTTAACTTGCATGTGAAAAATTGCAATGAAACACTTGGATGTGAAAATAAAAATATATGATATAAATATATATAAATAAAAAGTGTATATATAAATCTAAAATGTAAGTTATAAACATCATTGATCAGGATATGATTTAATATTTTATGAATTTGATCCATTTTTTGCCCCTTTTATCAAGAACTACATGAGGAATTCGTTAGACTGTATCTTATCCAATATCACAACAGGTACACACAGCAGTAACAGCATACATCTGGTGTCAACATGATAACTGATTTATTTGGAAGCTAAAACTAAGTCATTATTGCATTATTTATGTCAGCCTGTACAAAAAATCCAACTCTGAACCATTCCAGTTGCAAATCGTTAATGCCAAATTTATTTTCAAAGTATGTAAGGATTCATTAATTGAGGTGCTGAAGTTTCCACCTACAAGTTTCTAATGATCGATGCTGTGTCTATCTATATACGCTTATTTTTGTGTTTTACGTAAAAGTTGAACGTAATTTGAGTAAAAAACTTCTTTTTATATTGTACATTAAATTCCCATTAGCCGAATTCAATCAGTAACAGACTGTCAGGTTCTATTTTCGATTTTGTTGTAAACATTGCAAAACTTTTCTTATTATAAAAAGAAGTATGGAGATAACAAAATGTAGATTCCAAAACCAAAAGGTCTGTTGAAACAATACATATTGTGAGTAGAACAAAAATGAATATTTACAAAAAAAAAACCCATTAGATATGGGATCTGGCCCCGAGATCATAAAACAACTTAAGCTTAAATCAAAATCTCTCTGTTGTAGTATAAATGTTGTAGAAGTCAGACAGCCCAAAAGCAAACTGTTTTACAAAATTGTTGTACAAAAGATTTGTTATCTGTAAAATTAGAGATTAAATCAAATAAATAATAAATATTTTATAGGAGACTGAAAATTTGACTTAAGGCTAAGTATGTTTCATTATCTTGGGACCGGCTGGTCATTGCAATTGTATCCACCAAAACGTTTACAAAATTCGCTTTAAATAAAAAAAAAATGAAACAAAGAAAAACGGAACTGCTTATACATGTACTTCTGTTTCATCAATTTTGACACTAGCGTGTCTAATTGTTTGAATGTAGAACATGCTCTTAAGCCCAAATTCTGCAATAATATAATAAAAAGCCTTACTAAAACATTATTATATAAAGAATGTTGTTATATTCTTTGACAGCTGAGACTACTATATAAAATTTGTTTACTCCATCTTTTAGAATTAATTTATTCATGATATTTTTTTTTGGATTTATTTGAAAGCATTTCTTAACATTTGGTCTTCCTCAAATTTGCAGTATTTTTTTTAAATAGAATAGATGATTTTTTTTTAAATTTCTAAGCCATACAAATGTGGTGGAATACAAGTCTGGACACTTTTGTATCTCAAACATTTGTCATTTTCCTTGTGTTAGACAGTTTTCTCCTTCATACATGTATGTAAATCTTTTACGCACCAAATATGATGCACAAGATGCATATTTTAACAAATCTTATTTGTATTAATGATACATAATTTATTCAAAATTCTATATAGGAGAAAAAAAATTTATTATCAACTATGTAATTATTAATTATAAGTAGTTAACATCAACAAAGCTTCATGATAAACATGATGACTTTGACTTTCAATCTTCAGCTTCCCAAATGTAGCAATTTCTCTTATCATCCGAAAAATGTGTTTCAGCCCCTATGTTTATTCGATATGTAAGAGCTTGCTCAACGTAAAAACAATTACTCAAACAAGGTAGATTATTGACAAAGAACTTGATAAAACATGGATATGAAATCTCGTTAGAAGTCATCATATCGCAAGTTCTATGGTCGATACAATGACCCAGTTAGCAAATGCAATCTTTCATAAAGTCATACACTAATTTGTTAGTTCATTGTTTTCATCATAATCTTTACTATAATAAAAGTACTTTCAATCACCAAAACATAGAGCACAGGGTTGGTGTTAAGGTCGACAGGGGATGCACTTCTAGGTACATGTATCTGAACGCAAGTCTTGTGTTTCCCAGGATCCTCATTTTCCCTATTTACGATTCTTCTATTTAAATGAATCAATGAGAATGATCACTGTTCTTTATCTTCACATATTATATGATATAAATATGTTACTGAAGAGTACTGAAGAAGTACTTTTTTCCTCAGGCCAATAAATACATGGAATCTATATTTCTGTTTAATTCACGGGTAGAAAATCATGCAGATTTCCTAGGCGTTCAATATATGCATTAAATGTACAATTGGACAAATTTTCGTGGAAAATTATGGACCGCAAACATAGTATTAATTCATACAACGCGGAAAAGAGTACCTCTACCGTATTTGAGGTCATCTTTGAAGAATGTATATAAGCAAAGTCATATGCTTTTACTAAAAAAATATAGAATATAAAAAACGTTTCATCTTAAAATGTTAGTTAACATAATAATAAAATGGCATATATTATTCGGATATCGTGGTTAGGATTTATAAAAAATAAAAGAAAATACTTAGGCTAGTTAATTTTGAAGAGAAAAAAATGTTTTAATGCATAGCTTATTTTGGTGCTTAATCAAAAAGAAATCTTATCAAGCAAAATCAAGAAACCCAAACTTAACTAAGAAAATGTTTTAAAAAATAATCAGGTGTTTAGAAGATTATGGAGTGATGATAGATCAATCGCTACATGTTCCAACATTAGAAAAACATTCGAATATAACATCTTATCCATGCATTCAATTTGTGTTTTTTTTCTTATTACTGGTTCATTTGCACTAAACTATAATAAAATAAAATTGCTATTAGCATGTGGTTTAACTTTTTATCTCAATACACAGATTGATATTAATAAATGTATATTCTGAATCTAAATGAGTTATTTTGAAACTGAATGAATAAAATTCAAAACACATTTTTAAAATATTTTCTCAACAAAAGAATTGAAACTGTTTGCAGACGTACAACTTTGGTACAACATGCACGCTTTCTCCAGAAATTGACAAACCTTACTTTCTATTATTTTCTTTACGTTTATATTATTCTGGATTATGTAATTTTTGTTTAACTCTATGGAGACTGCCAAGAAAAACATTTCAGTTTCTAAATGTATCTACAGGGAATCAACAAGTAAATTAAACATACAACAATTTATTTCAAAAAGCACGAGAAGCAACAACAATTGTAGAAGTTAAAATACATAAAAATTTAAATCAGAGAGCATAGAAGAAAGATGAAAAAATATAGATATATAATGTGAAATAAATAAATACATGTAAAGAAAATGAAAAAAAAGTAAGTCTCACTTTACTGTCCATAAATCATTCCCTCAGACAAAGAGTTGATCCAATGTAGGGTTTCCTTGAAATGTTGTCTCCGTATTGCTCCACGACTATGTGTACAACGATAAAACATCTTTCTCAATCCGAGACGGAAACGAGAACCCGTAATGAGGTAAACAAAAAAGGTAGCACATTTGTTAGTATACAACATGTAGAAGGTAATGGCGAATAACATCTCAGAATGTCCAAAATCGGCAGTGGAAATGGCAAGCTGCATACTGAACGGAAAGGTTAAAAAGAGGATTAGAATCGATTCCCCAATCAACATGGGTGTAACTGTTTGCCACTGCTTGAAGTCCCCAGATCCGTTGCTTTTTTCGCTACTACAGAAACAAGAATTTCTATGTTTTAAAGGGGACTCTGGTAACTCCGACACAATTAAGCTTTCTTTTCGGTTGGAACAGTAATGACGACGGATTTCTAAATGAGACGAAGCATAGAGTTGACGGACCAGAACTCCATTGGAAGCAGCAATGACAATAAAGCATAAAACCAAGAATCCTACATGAAGCCACGGCCAAATTTTTTCCCAGAATATTTTGTATATTTCTGATTCTGGAAAGACATCACATAGTTTATCCCGCATGTGTTCAAATTTAACAATTTTCGATGAAAATGCAAAGTGGATATTTTTCACAAAAACAATGAGTAAAAGGAAAAGAATGATATATTTTGGTCTTCTGTGAGAATACTTTGATGCCCTGCTTTTTAACGGGAGATAAACAGCTATGGCTCGATTTACAGACATTGTGGTTGAAAGAAGAATGCTGAAATCACAGTTTCCCCAACCATATACTTGGAGGAATTTACATATATCTGTCACTTTGTCTCGGTCATACACATTTTCGAATGACACATAAAGCCAATGCGTTGTCATAGAAATACTAAGACTGAGAGCATCGTTTATTGCCAGTGCTGTCATGTACACGGAAATGTTCTGACATTGGAAAAATCGCGTGCGCATTACACAGACAATCAAGCTGTTACAAATTAATCCAGTCACGATTAAAATCGGAGGATAGATTGTGTTCAAAATCAGAAAAGGCGTCCCGGAATAATCCCTCTCAAAGTGGCTGATATTCAAAGTTCTGTTAAAACTCATTTTTGTAAGAATTCTACGCTATTCATGAAAGTCATCCTCTGCTGCTAGTTCAATAACACCTCCTGCAAAAATAAAACAAGAGAAATATTAAAGGCATGATAAACGCGCCATCGAAAAGTAGCCGCACCATTGTAAGCAAAAGCTTCTATGAGGGTTGCATTTGAAATTAAAGGTAAACAATGAAGGGAACCTAAATCCCCCACATCGCTCATGCAAGAGCTCATGGCATCAACGTGATTGTAAGCATTATGTTTATAAAGGTGTTTCTTTATGATCCCAGCAGTTCTTGAATTTATTTCAAGACGGTTCTTTGATCGCGGCCTCGCAAGCCGTAATTAGTAAGGAAATATATGCTTTTATTGTAAACAACTCGTTATTTCTGTTTCCAAAAGAACAGAGGAAATTAAAGGGGGATGGGCTCTTCAATTAGTGGACATCTATAAAGTCTTATCTACAAAGTCTAGAATTGTATATATGATATATACAAAAGGTCAGGTACCGACTAGGTATCATAAAATTACAGTATATTTCCGTTTGCCTTTTCTTGTTTTGTAATCAGGAAATATTTTTAATTTGTAAAGAAGACATTTTAGTAACGCATAAATAATACCTAACTTTGATAAACGAATACACTGTACAGGGTAAGCATTGTCGATAACATGGCAAATATTAATGCATATATATATCAAAAAACCTCCCATGTATATTTATTTCGTATATTTATTTTATATCCAGTGTGATAAATTATAAAAGTTTTTTTCTTCTGCCACAATCAGAATATAAAGCACGATTTGATTCTCTATTTAAGGTAGTCTTCTCACACAGTTGTGAATTTAAAAATTAATGAAATTTTCATACAATATTACTGAAACAGTAAATTAATTAAAAGTTGTTTTTTTTCTTGTCAATGCGAAAATGTTCTATTTCAAAAGATTAAATGTTTTTCTTTTTGAATATTATCATATAGATAAAATGATATTACCAAACTGACAATTAATTTAACAAAAATGGATTTTGTATTTTTCTCTAATTTTTAGATACACAATTTTTATGCATTTTTTTTTTCTTATTTTCACATATGAAAGAAGTGTTACTTTAAAAAGTGCATTTAGAGAGAAAAAACACTTTCTACGAATTTTTGGCTCATTTCTGTACTTAGATTGGAAGCTTTTAAAAGCTTACATAATTGTAGTTTGTTTGGAAATTGATATTTATTTGATATATTTTAAAACAAACCTTTTTTCTGCAATTTCGTTTCATTTGATTTTCAGTGCCAATTTAGTACTGATTTTAAATTTAAAGTTGTACAATTGTGATGAGGAAAGAAAAATATGGTCTTTTAAATCTCTTTCACCTAAATATATGAGACATATAAGCAAATTTCATATACTCAGAAACCAGAGAAGAATCCTACCTTAAGTTAGGTTAAAGGATTTTTGGGTGAGACATTTCTGGGGACTTTCTATTCATTTGATTTTCTGTGCCAATTTAGTAATGATTTTAAATTACAAGATTAATTATCAAGATGAAGAATGGGTGAATGAAAATATCGAATGAAAAGAATTCGAAATTCCGAAAGATAAATTCGACATCTGGATTTCATATTACGGCAAATTACTAATATACAATTTTAATGGTTTGAAACACATAAACGAGGAATATATGAGAGCAAAATGCTATAGCTTTAGATTCAGTCATTTATTGTACTTCATGCATGTCAACACTAAGGTACATACATGTACTTTGATGTTAATAGAGAAGGCGCAGTTCAGGTCAAGAAGGCCTATTGAAGTCTACTTAAGATAGTTTTCTTTGAAACATGTTTTAGTTCATTTAATTATTATAAAACATTAAACATTATTATAATCAAACACTTATAAAGCGCCCTATATATTAAACTCTAAGGCGCTGTGAAAGCATAATTATGTAAAACAAAAAAACTTAAATTACAGCAGTCATAATTATTTGAAATTATGAGATTGTATAAAATGTCAATGTTCAATATCAATAAAAAACCGAAATGAAGGATAAATTTTAAAATGCAGTGTATATAAAATAATAGAATTAAACACAAAATTTATAAGTCACATCCCTTTATAAAAAAGTTTTTAGCTCTTTTTAGAAATTCCCATTGAGTTACATTTTAAACTGTGATACCCATAAAAGAAAAGGAAAAAAGAAAAAAAAACTTATACAATAAGCTGTGATTTTTCTTAGGGAAAATAAAATATGGTCTCCAAATTATATGTTTTAGATTCATACATGTATATATTAACAAAAATATAAACAACGGTCTAACTAAAATTTATATTCATGCTGGGCATGTTATGTGTTTTCTTTCAATACAAGTTTCATAGAAATATAATATTAAAATAAAAAAATAAACCTTAAAAAGTGCACTTTAACACAGCTAGATAATTTTTAATCTATCCTATCTTTCCACTGATGTTAAAAAAGAAAAAAAAACATATCTGTTCTTTTTGATGTTCGAAGATTTCTTACTGAATGTCTTTAAAGCTTGACGCCATTGTAGACAATTGTTTTTGACGGTAATTTAAAGGATAGCATACTTCAAAACTGAAGATGAAATGGTTTTCCGTTCATTCCATGTACATCTGTTAGGTCTTTAGCAATATCATTTAATGCATTTGGACGTTCGATTGTTGATTTTTGTTTCTTTCAGGATTAAGATAAAGTTCAGAATTTTTATTGTAATCTACTGACTACAGATGCAATTAGTAAGAATACTGGATGAATTAACTTTTGTCTTAGATGGAGGTTAAAGAAAGAAATTGATCTGACAAAAAAAATCGGTTACATTTATGAGTCAGTTCCTCACAAACCCCTCAAGTTATCGAGAAACACAGTCCAATTTTGCAAAAAATACTACTGTTATCATAATGATGAAATAATCAAAATTTTCAATTTCATAAAGTTGTTGATGTACGTCGCGATGATAGCTGTCGAGTATATTATGCAGGTATTGTATACATATCAAAGCCTGATTACAGGTTTGACGTTCTTATGGAAAACATATGCATTTGATGCTTACCTGATGTACTGCATTTAACAGACATCTTGCAAACTTCATATGGCTAATTAGATTCTGGATTTATATGCATAACTGTGTGTGGTAGAAATATCAGAAATACAGGTATTTGAAGTGAACCAAATACCTTATGGTTATTTCTGAAATCAAAGTAAATAGTGGGTCACTGTACTCTAGATATTGATATGCTACATGTGTATTGAACATTGTAACATTGAAAAGAGAGATTTTAATATAAATATTTTATTTTGATATAATTTTTTCCCGCTAAAGTATCAACATTGTCTTTGGTTTCTGTCAATTAGCTGAAATGGAATCTCGGATAAACATCATTGATATAAGTCACTGCATATCGAATTGCTTGCTTACCGAATAAACAATACTTACAGAAAAGTTATTAGAATTTAGTAATTAAGTAAGGATGCAGAAACTTGAATAAAGAAATTCAGTACTGTAGATTCCTTAATATACGCGCGGAATTAATTATCCCGTAATTTCGCGAGAAGCACAACACGCGAAATAAAATTACTCGCCTTTATTTTTATGGTGCTGAAATCTCTGTAAAATCTCTTGATCAACCGTCCATTCGTGAATTATTTTTCTCGCGATTTGCCGTTGAAGAGCCCATTCGCGATAATAAGTACTCGCGAAAAATAAGGAATCTATAGTATATCTTAAAACTTGTTAATACTTTATTTTTTCAAATGAAAAGTATCATCTTCTCAGTTGTCTATTTTTTAATAAATCAAAATCATTTGTATTAGTGTCAAAGGAGCTGTACAAACACTAATTTTAATAGTGATGTCAACTGCTTCCAATTAGCAATTAACATCTAAAATTCTTTAAACTTAACACCGTGATGATGAAATAATTAAATACTGATTCTTGAAGTGTACATTAAAGCATTCATCTAGTTTCTGGGGCATTAAAGGGCAAACCCGTTATACATGAATTATCCCACCTTTCCAAATATCGTTGATGTTCATGCCATATCCTACCAACTAGACAGTGATTCCTTATATTAACATTTCATTGTAACATAAAGTTGTAAATTAAGACTTTAAAAATATTTCCTAATGGATTTAAATTACACAAAGCTCTCATGTCAATTTCAATAGTCCCCACCTTTTGAAACACACAAAGACAGCCTTAGGAGATTAACATGCATATTAGGCTTAGCTTAGTTCCTGGATCTATGCTTTGCGAAATTTACATTCAGATTGAATTATAAAAAAAATCAACTCAACTAAACTATTAGTTATCACAGGAGAAAACTAATAGAAATGGAAATGTTGTGTAATCATATCAATGCCCGATCTCATGTTTGTGGTTAGTATGAAAAACATCAGCATGTGATAGTTTACTGGTGTAATTCATTTAACAGACATCTTGCTAAATTCATATGGCTAATTAGTTTCTTGATTTTTAAGCATATCTGCGTGTGGTAGAAATATCAGAAATATATTCATGTGTATGAAGTAATCCAAAAAAACGCACAACGGTTATTTCGGGAAAAATTGTACTATTGAATTTTATATTGATGCTCTCTCTCTCTCCTCTCTCTCTCTCTCTCTCTGTAGATCTCTCCCCTAAGTGCAAGCTTTTTTCCATCTTCAAAGTAAGTTACTACTAGCATAAAAAGTATCAAGCATTCTTCCTCCCGAAAAATATAAATCTAGTTCATATCTTCGGAAATAGAGATGGTAATGCATGCTGGCTACCGGTAGTTGTCTGAATAAGAGTTTAAAGAAAATATAATGTTAAGATTAATATTTCATTAAAATTGTGATTGGACTAGTAGTTAAGCAGGGAATATAGAATTCTCTCAAATCGTAGGTATGAAACTTCTCTAATGATGACTTTAACTTTGCAATCATCAACTTATGCAGCAACATCTTCATCACCTTCGTACGAAGTTTATATATCTCAGTTGATTCGATACGCAAGAGCATTTTCTAGTATGAACAATTTCTAAAAGGAGATAATTTATTGACAATTAAGTTGATGAAACAA